TCATAAACTTCGATCAACAGTCATATTTGTTATTCATCTTAAATTCAAAACCAACATATATATATTCTCTTTAAATATCCATTTCTCCAGTGTCAAGATTTTCAGTATTTCTTTTATTCTATCTTTTAAATCTGAAAGTTTTCAAATTGACTACATTTTATAACCTAAAATTGCAACTTTTTATCTTTAAGGTAATCAATACTCTGAGGTATTTGGTGGCCTGTTGAAAAGCAAAATTCTACCCCTTTCCAACAAACCCAATTTCCAGTGGCAGTCCAAATATTCAAACCTTCATCATCAACATTCCTTGCAGAACTTATTCTGAAGAAGCATGATAAATTTAGACCCGAATGTTAGGAAGCAGCAATCAATCAATCAGGATACGAATATTCCAAATGCTCAGTTTTACTGGTTCAATGATGTTTTGAAATCTTATTTGATATTATATATAATCTGAACAGTGTCAAATAAATTCTTATTCTTATAATCATTATGTCAATTTATGTGTACTGTAAGATAGATTTCCACAGAAATAAACATAAATGCCAGAATTCGCAAAACCAATTAGACATCAATTGCAAATCCAAGTCACTTAGATATTTCAGAAATGAGCTGTACTGTACACGACCATAAAGAGTGCTGAAATATCACTGGTAAACCAAACTTTGAACCAGAGACATTAACTTACAGTAAAACATTTCAAGCTTGATATGTATATCAAAGTGACCTAATTGTAAATTCACATTTTTTTCTATTCAAGGGTTTTAGAAAAGAAATATATATAAACCACATGGAGTTTGTGAGGAATGGACCATAATGTATTGTAAAGCTTATAATAATGGAAGAAATGTGTGACCAAATATTTGTTTTTATTCAACATATTGAAAAATTAAATTATAAAAGTATCAGCTATCAGGAAAGAAGGTGTCTGACAGATCCAAAAAGGGGCTCACAGGTTACAACTCATCACTGTCATGCAGCTGAAGTTTCTCTGTTTGGTGTGACCAAAATATTTGTTAGACAAAAGAACAAGGGGATCGCAATATAGGCTCTGCTCCTGGAGTTGGGTATAAAAAAATATCAGTTTGAATGTTTCTGTCCGCCAAAATTTTTTGGTCCTGTAAAAATAGGTACTAAGTCCTCAGGAAAACTTAACATAATTAATATGTCTTATTCTAGAATCTCTGTGAATAATCCAGATTATGAAACAGTTATGTTTTTAATCTTCAGATGTTGTTTTGCTGTGCTTTGTTAATTTGATTAGTGAGTGACAATTTATTTTGCAAGTACATGTAGTTCATTTGATAATCTTCAATTTGGCAACCATTCTATTTAATAATCAATGATAAGTGCTTAAATGATACACAATATATCTGTATTTGAATGTCCATTAATGTAATATAAATACATGTTCAAATATTTTATATATATATATTTCTATTTTAAAAAATACCCGTGCCGCCATCTTTTCCTGATAACAAATCTTCTTTCCAACAATTACTGTAAAATGTAGAGAAAAACACATAAATACATGTATAAGGCATAACATTTAATGATCAGATAACTAAATTCATCAACAAACCACTAGAGGACTATTCTTAAAAGGGCTTTCAATAAGTTTAAAGTATCAGTCAATAAACTACAGACAATTGCTAAAGTTTTCTTCCTTCTACACAATACATGCATGTTTAAATGATTTAATGACAGAATGAATGGATTATAGGTGAGAGTGACCAACATTTGCCTAGATCTTTACACAATTTAAGTGACCCTCTATAATAAATGTAATAGCCTACTCTACTATAGGTAGCAATATATGAATTTTCTTTACCAAGGTTGATGAAACATGAAAAATAGGTCATAGTTACCTCTTTTTGTCCTGATGTTCACTTTTTACCTGCAGTTTCATGTACATATTAACTCAGACATAAAAATTCTGAAGTTAAAACAGAACATTGTGACCATCTTTTGCATGAATGATGAATTACTCTTCAAAATGCAATCTTAAAGTTGGAAGTTTATGTTATCAAATGTAAATTTTTTTGTTGTTGACCGTTATGGAATATCTGTGTTACAGATGACCACAGATATGTTCCAATAGTCATACAATGTAACTACAATCCTGACCTCTCTTCCTCAATTGTAAAATCACTGATTTTTTTTTTATAATGACCAACAGGATGAGTGCCTTAGTATAGTGGAACAGGATCTGCCAATCTTTCAGAGCACCTGAGATTACCTCCAGTTCTTTGACTTATGAGTTTTTAATGTCCCCTTGGTATCTTCAGCATCTTTTTTAAACAAGATTAAATGATCCTACAATTTAGTTGGTGAGATACAAACTTTAAGACTTTAAGGGAATACAATACAGTTATGATCCCACAATGAATTTTTGACAAAAAAGGCATACAAGTAATTTTTCACTAAGCTAATTTGAATATGTAATAAAATAACCTTCATGTGCTTCTCTTAGAGATAAATGGGGTAGAAATTTTATTGAGAAAAATGACATATCTCAAAGTTATAGTCTTTATTATCAAAAAAAGCAGTATTAAAAACTAAAAAATAGAGTTATTCAGGTCAGATCTATCGGTTCTCAGGTTCTTATTGAGTTTTAGGGAGTTTTCAGGGAATCAGTGTACACTAAATATTCCATATATAAAAATAAGAAAACATGGTATGATTGCCAATGAGACAACTCTTCACAAGAGACCAAACAGTAAAAGAAATAGAAAATTAATATAGTGGAATATGTAGACAGCTCTCACAAGCAAAAAATCCTAACATATGACTTTCAAATAATTTTATTTCAAAAGACTTGTGAGTTATTCAGTTAAATTCAAATACATGTTCAACATTTAACACCATTTAGGTGCATTTAAATAAGTTTGTACAAGTTAAAGTGGTAAGAGTTTGCAATGGTAAAAGATTGTAGAAGTACTTTTTTTATATACATGTAATCCTTGCAGTGGAATAATAAAATTGAGAATGGAAATGGGGAATGTATCAAAGAGACAACAACCAGACCAAAGAGCAGAAAACAAGTAAAAAAGTTTGCTTTTAGTGGTACATGTTCTCATTGGGCCACAAACACACAGGCACTTGTTTCTATCCATGGAAATGTCAACTATCCATATGTAATATGTGTTTCTATCCATGGGAAGGTCGACTATCCATATGGAATATCTATTACATATGGATAGTTGAACTTCCCACGGATAGAAACAAGTGCTGTGTGCAAACATCCTTACTGCAGAGAACTAAACATTTTAATCATCTTATATTGATATTGTTATTACCACACCGGTATTATACATTGTATTCTTGTACTGTATTGTTTGTAAATGTTGATACAATTATGTTAACTTATTGTATCCTTGTCATTGGCATTGCTCACGAGTTTTTTTAATAATTGTACGAGTTAACTATAATTATTATACCTTACATATAAACAATTCTACGATGAATATCCAAAATTGTACCTTTTGTTAGCTATTATTCGTGTGTTTCTTTGTCCTATATGTTCTCCCATTTATTTGTATTGTAGTCATCTCATGTAATGTTGTCATTTTAATGTTATATTTAACATTGCCATAAAAGCGGGAGGTTTGGCATGCCACAAAACCAGGTTCAACCCACCATTTTTTCTTGAAATGTCCTGTACCAAGTCAGGAAAATGGCCATTGTTACATTATAGTTCGTTTCTGTGTGTGTTACATTTTAATGTTGTGTTTTTGTTGTGTCGTTGTTCTCCCAGGGTTCGACATTAACTTTTATACCAACTTGTCCAGTTGGGCAAGTGCCCTATTACTTTTACTTGTCCGAAAGTGAAATCTACATGCCCAAATTTTTACATGCTATTTTTGTGGTTGTAATGTACATGTAGTACATGCAGATAAAATATAGTTATCATGTATATGGGGTGTAAATTGATTATGAAGTATGAATATTGATGAATTGAGAAGTCAATAATATTTCCAGAAGTTTAATTTCATTTTCTCTTTCAAGCTTTTACGTTTTTCCATCTTAGGGAAATACACATCCGATGTCAAATTCTAAAGTTAGAACAACGAAAATAAACCTCTGCTTTCCATTGGTCGGTTGGAATAACACGTGCGTCGGAAATGCCTGAGTGGTGTCCTGATTGATGACCATAATGACGAAGCAACGCCGCAGCCGCCTGATCGGCCAATATTTTTAAACGTGATCTATTTTTGGTAAAATGGGGAATTCAGTGCGAACAAATGACGAAATATACGCATTGAAGGGGGGTTAAGACCACTTTACTCGACCGTGCGGTGTCATCACAGAGTAATTTATGGACAAAACAACAGACACTATTGATTTTGTGAAATTTTAATCATATAACACTTTATTTTTCACTTGCCCGATCGGACAACCAAGATGATGTTTTTACTTCTCCGAATACGGCATTAACTTGCCCCGGGCAATCGCACAACCGTAAGTGTCGGACCCTGTCTCCTCTTATATTTGTCTATAATTTGATGCGTTTCCCTCAGTTTTAGTTTGTAACCCGGATTTGTTTTTATCTCTATCGATTTATGAGTTTCGAACAGCGGTATACTACTGTTGCCTTTATTTATGTCAAACCTAAAAAATTATTACATTTTATACATTGTATTCTTATATGTACTGTACTGTATTGTTTGTAAATGTTGATACAACTGTCTTGTTGTATCCTTGTCATTGCTCACGAGTTTGTTATTATTGTACGAGTTAACTATAATTGTAAGAGCTACATGTACGGTCGTATAAAGCAATCAAATTCAGAAAGTCCTATGATGGGCTTATAGATTATACTTACTTTTATAAACATGCAATATGTATGTTGCTCTTCACCAAAATATAACTAGTTTCCTTTTTTCGACGTAATAACCTTGAACTTGTTCGTGTATATTTTGACTTTACTCATAACAAAAAGGAAAAAATCCGAAACATATTTGATTATGAAAATCTTGGTTTCGTCTGTGTTTGCAAAATCACACTTTTTACATGTGCTATTGAAGAAACTTTTTGACATTAAAAGTGTCAAAACAAATGCTGAAAAATTATTCTTTTCAGATTACTGTAATCTCATACATGTACTTATCATATTTTGAAATGACAAGCAGTACTACAACATCAGAGTTACAGTCATTGTATACAGTGCAACGTTTTGAAAATGTAACTGGGGATCTTGGTAAACAGAATGACTTGATACTTTGCTTTCCTTCAGCAATCAGTCCAACTAAAAGCCTGAATAAGGCAGTGATTTTCTTTGGTGGAGATGTTCAGGTCATTATTAGAAGTTATTTATGAAACATTTGATAATTAGTAATAGATGTTTTTATTTAGATCTGAGACTTTTTTAAAACTGATTATTACAAGTATCTCAGGGCTTTTCAGTCATTATCTAAAGGGGTCGCCCCGATATTCCGACACCCCACCAGTCCGACACATTATTGGGCGGATACCTCAATAGTCCAATGCCCCATTGGTCTGACACCCCATTAGTCGGACAAAGGTAAATTACTGTGGTAATAGAAAATCTTTATAGAATCATTATTGACGTGGTATGAACATTACTCTTTCTTATAAGAAATGGAAATACATGTAGATAATACCATACTACCCATTTGGTATTTCTTAAATACATGACCATAGTATATTTTTCAAGCATGATGATTTCTAGTCATCTACCAGTACATGGACGTATAGATCGGAAACTTTCAAAACTGAAAGTTGTCGAATTGTTAATTGATTATATAATTGAAAATTAGTGAGTTAAAAAGTTTGATAGTAAAATTGTTCAACTGATGATAATTGGTTTAATATATAAAGATTTTGTTGAGGTTGAAACTTTGATAAAGTGATTGAATTTGCTGTCAGAATGAACTTGAATTGAATAGCAATGAAACATTTGCCACTGGACATTAAAAAAAAAAAAATATTGATCATGTACAAATATCCATGGGAATGTACATCAATGATTTGATTTGTTATTGCCATATTCATAAAACAACAAACTTTTATTTTTCTGTACATTGTTGTTTTCTCTCGTGTTCCTTGCTGTCTCTTAAAACACAACTAATCAGTTGTCTTTTCTTCCCGCTTTACGAATAATCGATTATCGGTCGAATGTTGATTAATTGAATAGCACAAGCAAACATACTGTGTGAAAATAAGTTAACTCTAGCAACCCACACCACTTCTCTGACATTGCCACAGGAATGAAATGAGAGTTAGAACACAAGAAAGCCTCATGAGTACAAAATTTAATGCAAATAAAAAAAAAAATATGCTTGGTGAAGGTGGGGAAACATGAACCCTTCCTTTCCAACCTATATGACCAGATTATCATGTCTCCATGCTAAGCTTTGACCTGTGTACGAGGAAAATTTTGTATCAGTTGTTGACAAACAGATTGTTTCTGGGTCAGAGCTGTTTGAATCACTTCAAATTCTATCTTTGATATTGCTTTATGTATGTTTTTAAAACTGTCCTGTTAATTTAATTTATTTTTCATTCTTTTTTTTCCAAAAATTTCTACAAACCGTCATCATCCATATTATCGTTTAGTTGATATAATTTCTTACTAGTTCTCTCCAAATAATGACAGAATTTGTTTTCGGATAGATATTGAATTAAATAATCATTTTATACATAAACGTTTTTACATACTATAAAGGAAAATACAGGATTTTTTAGTGGCGGCTTAACGTCAAACATAAAATATTACACTAACAGCCCAACAAATCCTTTTAAATAAGCCGTCAGATGTCATGGAGCAATCTTGGACTATTATATCCTGTTTGATATAGACCGACATGCTGAGTTGGATTTTAAGGTCTATTAACATTTCATTTCCAACTCTGTTGCAACCATTATCTTTGCTCTTACTTATAAATGTCGCTTGATTGGCGGAAAAGCAGCAAATACCAATTATATAGAATTGCTTTGGTCTTTTTGTGTTGATTTTCATTTCTCATGCAGTTATCTTTGTTGCAGAATTTTGTTATCTCTTGATGCAGATTTAATATTTAGCACGTGAGTGTATCTATACACCAATAAGAAAATGTGTGGCATGTCACAATAACTGATGAATAGCCTTTAACTTTGACATCAATGCCTAATTATTAAAACATACTTTGGCTAGAAGATTGTCCAGTTTGAAATTTCTTGATTTATTCACATTGTATATTGCTTTAAATTTGCCTTCCGAAATAGTTAATTTTTGCTTCATATAATTTAATTTTCCTCATAGAGGTTGGTTTGCTTGGATCGGAAGTTGATCATTGCATAGCAACATACAGATTTCATACAAAACTCCCATAACCTGCTGATCTCCTTGTTTGTTAGATGTCTAGAAAATTATGAAATGTTTAATTTGGTTACCCAGTTTAATTGACCCCTAGGAGATGCGTTGCAGGGGACACAGAGACACCAGGTGTCCGTCTGTCCATCCTTGTATCCATCAGTCCATCCGTGCATATTTTTTTACCATTTTTTCCACTGTCTTAAGAGTTCAAGGAATTAACTTTAAATAAATCACTCTCTTCATTGGTGCTTAAAGATAAATCAAACTGACTTTCTTCTAAAAAAAAATTTGACATTAATTTTCATTTTTGCAGTTGAATAGTCTATTTATATAGAAAAGGGTGCTTCGTGTGTTCAAGTTAGGCACTATAAGCATTTATAACCAGAAATGTGTCCATTCCTTTACAATGAAGCCAGCATCACACACACAATCATGCAAGCAGTAAAGCCTCATTAGAGTCTAAACTTTCTTAGTCCTCTGCTTTGAGAGAGATACATTAAGTATCTACATGTAAGTAATTCGACAGAACATAATTTGACAAAACCTTCACTATTGTTAAGAAATTGATATTCCTTTTTAGTAACGCAAAACATGAGGCCTGTGCCTCTATCAATCTATGTCTTGTTTGAGTGAATATATCCTTTTTTCACTGATACATGTCTACAAATCTACCCTGATAACTTGCATTTAGTGTTCTTGATCGACAAGGCCTTCTTTTCTAAACGCAGTTTTGGTATTAAATGAACACGTCATCATGCATTCAAATGTAAAAGATATATAACTTTTATACAATTATTCAATGTTGGGACTATTGGGGCAACGGACCAATGGGGTGTCGGACTAATGGGGCTTCAGACTATTGGGGTGTTAGAGCAATGGGGTGTCGGATTGTTGGGGTGTCGGACTAATGGCATGTTGGAATATCAGAGCTGCCCAATCCAAAATCAGGGAACCCTGAATACCTATAATTTGGTTTTCGTTCCCCCTGATTCACATTCAACCCTAATTCCTGGTCTCCATAATACTGTTTGCCCTAGGTCTTCTCCTTATACCTGTTCTCACTGGGTCTGTTCTCCTTATACCTGTTCTCACTGGGTCTGTTCTCCTTATACCTGTTCAGACTGGGTCTGTTCTCCTTATACCTGTTCTCACTGGGTCTGTTCTCCTTATACCTGTTCAGACTGGGTCTGTTCTCCTTATACCTGTTCTCACTGGGTCTGTTCTCCTTATACCTGTTCTCACTGGGTCTGTTCTCCTTATACCTGTTCTCACTGATTCTTATTTTATTTTGTTGTCGTACATATAATAGAAAAATAAAAAAATATTAAAATATATTGCCTAGAGTTAAAGAGTGACACACTGTGTTGAAAATTTCAAAAGGGGATATCAAGGTAACCTAAAATTGATGTATTGAGTCAAATATATGCAACTTGGAACTAATTTTTTTTTATTTTGGCATACATTGTACAATGTATTTCTTATAGGTTTTTATCATTTTTAAAAGACAAGCTCATGTTAGTGATACATATACCATAATGAAGAATACTCAGCTCTTATTTATCCTTTTGGTGTATTTGAAAATATATAGTACATGTACAAATATATTAAAATGAAATATAATTGATTACAAAGTTTTTCACTTTAGATTACTTTTGATGTTTGATTATGTTTTTTTTTTTGTCCAGTTACCCAACCACAAATATCTATGAGTACCTGGCAGTTCATTGTTCTTTGTCTTGGGTTTTGAGGTAAAGATTCCATTCATTCAATCAAAACTCTTATATGGCTGGCTAGATAGTCATCCATATTCCAGACTTGATAACTACTTTTGAGATAAAAAAACATTGTGTATTGAGCAGAACATTCTATACATTCTATCGATGAACATTTCAAGAAATTAATTGGTGAATATATACTCTGATATTCAAGTTACAAAATGTTGTGTTTGCGTTTTATGATACTTGTCATGCTTGTCTAGAAAAATACATAAATTGTGCATGGTGCATGAATCTAGTATCTGTTTTAAAAATATCATGGTGTTATTTAGATGTTGGTGGTTTGTATGGTCTGTTGTGTTGTTTGATAATTTTGGTGGTTCCTGTTATCTCTTTTTTTTTTGGTAACATTAAGTTTATAAATAATTTCATGATTTTGAATATCAGAAAAAAATGATCATAAACCTTTTTTTTTGTTCACATTTTAATTATTTTGAATATGAGGAAAATTAATATGAGCTCTAATTTCCTAAAATGCAGATTCAAAAAATCAATAGACACTCTGAAACTAAAAAATATGTTTTGTTGAAATTGACACAAATATACATTTGCTTACAACAAAGTTAAGATATACAACTGTTGAAATAACTTGGTTTTTCTTATAATTTCAGAATTACCCAGAGGTAATGAGTCAACACAGAACAAATAACATATACATTCATTGGAATCTAGAGGCAACAGCAAGAATTCTTGCAAAGAGATTTGTAGACAGTTTAATAATAGTTATAAAACCAAAGGAAATGTTGTTAAATACCTTTAGTATCTACTCAAACTTTGTTGAATTTGATCAAGATGGCATTCCAATGTTATTTACAAATACAAATTCAAATGGATTAACTCATGTGTCTAAACTTTACTCCAAAGCCTTAGAAATATATGAAAACAAGCAGGCCTGTGATTTAGATAAAAGCAGTCACGTTTTATGTGATTCTGTCACTGAGAAGAGTGATGCAAGACCAGTCATTGGATGTCTGGCAGAGTTACCTGTGTCTTTTGTTGGTTTTAGTAAAGGTTGTGTTCCATTGAATCAGATATTGTTTGAGGTTGCTACAAAACATTTTTCACCAGAAACATTGGACTTTGTATCAAAAATGAAATCAGTATATTGGCTTGATGCGGGACACAATGGACGTCAAGACACATGGATCACAAGTGATTTTGTTTTACAGAAAATTGCATCAACCACAATAGAGTTGTTTGTTCATATAACACCATATCAAATTAAGGATATAAATAGGCCATGGATTGGAAAAGAACAAAGGAAATTTATTCAGAAATTAAAAGCATTGAAGGCAGATGTAACAGAAATAAGACATCACTTTGATGAACCAGGATCACTTGACCTACATTTTTCAATTTTAACTGAATTTTAATCAAAATATAAAAAAATCTACCGGTAATCTTTCAACTAGTATCTTGACTTGATGTAATACATGTATCTATTACTAATGGAAGTAATTTTTGTGGTTTAGAGTTTCCTTTCTTTTTCGTTTTTTTTCTTCATCCTGTTCATCAGATTTAAGTATCTAGCTAATTTGTTCATATTTAGCTCACATGGCCCAAAGGGCCAAGTGAGCTTTTCTCATCACTTTGCCTCTGTCGTCCGTCCGTCATATGTTAACTTTAACAAAAATCTTCTTCTCCAGATTAAATTTAATCAGACTTGACCACAATCATCATTGGGGTATCGTTTAAAAATTGTGTCAGATGACCCAGCCTGTCAATCAAGATGGCTGATATTGCTAAAAATAAAACATAGGGGTAAAATGCAAGTTTTGTCTATTATTTTGAAAACTGTTATATATAAATAGAGAAAATTTGACAGAGCAGAAATGTTCAGAATGTTGAGCTCTATCCATTGTACATTTACTTCAAAACTGTCAAGTGGACTGGGGTTATTACCCTTAAAAGACAAATTTTGCCATTTTTTTTTTTTTCATTTTGCCTATTATCTTAAAAACTATAATAAATAGAGAGAAACTTTAAGTTGAAAAAAAAAATCAGCAAGACAAGATCTACTTATAAGTATGCATGATCGAAATAATTAGTCGGCTATTAGATTTATTGCACTTTGATGATGATTTTTACCATTTTTTTGCGTTTTTATACGTCCGTTTAAAGGACTTATTATGGTTTACTGTTGTTTGTCCTTCCGTCTGTCAGTCCGTCAGTCGTCATCATGTCGGACAATAACTCATAAATGCTTAAACCAATTTTCATGAAACTTTGGTGAATTGATTATATCCATTGAAGTAAGCTCCCTTTTGATTTTTATACTTTTAGATTTTACGTTTCGAAGTTATGGGATTTTATTCACAAAAAAGGGGTGATTTTCCAGATTTCGGACAATAACTCAAAAATGCTTTGAGCAGTTTTCATGATACTTTGGTGACTGATTTATATCTATTAGAATAAGCTACCTTTAGTTTTTTTATAAATTTCTGATATGATATTGAGGAATAATGGAACTTTATTCGTTGAAAAAATGACAGGTGTATCATGTGCTCATGGCGCAGATCTTTATTGCCTTATATCTTTAAAATTAGAATAAATAGATAGACCTTGAATAAGCAAAAATTATCAGCAAGACCAGGAAATTGTCCGACAACTCCTTATTGGCGTTAATTCCCTTAAATGATGATTTTTACCAATTTTTAGGCCATTTGCGGCCTTATATAATAAAAACTATAATAGATAAATAGAAACTTTAAATAACAAAACTGATCAGCAAGGCAAAATCTACTAATACGTCAAATTTTGTTGATATAGTCAGTAGACTGTCACTTTTCATAGGCGTGATTGCCCTTAAATGGGATTTTTTTCCCTTCTTTTGTGTTTTGAGCAAAAACTAAAGAAGATAGACAGAAACGAAACAGACAAAATGATCAGCAATATAAGATCAGCAAAAAAAGATATTTTTGTCATGAATTCTATTCTTGTCTATAATGTTGGAGAGTGTCCTTTATATATATGTTAAATATGCACATAGACCTTGGTGAGCGACACAGACTCTTTAGAGCCTCTAGTTTATTATTTTTTAGTAAGATAACTGTTGTTTCCATTTTTTCTTTCAAGCAATATACAATGTTACAAGGCAAAATATCACTGTAATGTCTCATACACAGTCTATTATAAAATTATAATATGTATGAGATTTAATATAAACTATCTTCCAAAAACACTATGAACCCTTGACAATTATTTTAAACATACCTTCCTCAGCAAAGTCATAAAATGTCTTCAAAATAATTAATAACTAGCAATTTTATTCATGTTCAAAGTTTCATCTGTTATGTCAATGAAAAAAAGGTACTGACCTCAATTTATATAATAGCATCATATGTTTCAAGTAAGAGGCCAAGTTTACATGGACATAATAAACATAAACAAGGAATAGCTGTCAAATTGACAACATTTTCTATATTTTGAAGACACTTTCAAGCTTGTTTGACCTGCCACATTGAATGCCTATTTTTCAAAATATCAAAGACCACAACTCCTAAATGGAAAAAATGAAAATCGTCAATATTGAAAATGACCGGCATTTTGTCATAAGTAATTAACAGCATATAAAAATTTGAAGAACACTGGTTGAACTGTTCATAAAATAATAGTACAGATAATGTATTAGGGAGCTACCATTTGATTTTTGTGGGGCTAGGATGAAATTTGAAAAAAAATGCAGGACAGGAGTTTTGAGTAAAAAAAAAGGCAGGATGAGCAACTTGGCAAAAAAAAAAAGGCAGGATGACAATTTATGTAAAAAATGCAGGACCGAATAGAGTGAAAAATAAAAAGGCAGGATAGAAATTACAACTAAAAAAAGGCAGGACAAAATTTTTCATCCTAACCCTCCCCCCCCCCCCCCTCCCCCCCCCCCATAAAAATCAAATGGTAGCTCCCTTATGACATACAGTGCCATTTTCCAATCTATCAAGGACCATGACTCCTGAACAGTATAAGTGAAAATGATATATATAAAATTGTGTGCAACCGGTCCAAAATTCTTACCTCTAGTAAAACCCCCCCCCCCCCCCCCCCCCCCCCTGCCTTTTTGGAAAATTATATATAGCTTTAATTTATCAAGGCAAGTGAGTATTTGTTTCTCTCATCCCCAACTTCATTTTCTTTGCTTCCCTACTCACCTTGTTTTAGCTCACCTGTCCTAAAAGACCATGTGAGCTTTTGCTATTACTTATACTCGTCATTGTAGCCCGTCCGTTATCATAAACTTTTTTTCAAATCTTTATCTGGATGTTCCTTGGGGTATCTTTTTTAAAAATTGTATCCAGGGATTTGATTCATCATCAAACATAGTCACTGTTGCTAAAAATAAAACAAAAGGATTAAATGCAATTTTTGGCTTATATTCAAAAACTTAAGAGTTAGAGCAAATCTGACATGGATAAGAATGATCATCAGGTCAAGGTTATCACCTGCGAATTTTTCAGAAAAATCATACAATTCATTTAGGAGTTATTGCCCCTGAAATGTAAATAGTTTTGGGCTTATATCTAAAATAAACTTAGGCAGTTGGAGCAAATCTGACATGGTAAGAATTGATCAGCAGGTGAAGGTCTATCTCCTATGGAATTTTCAGAAAAATCAGACAACCCATTTTGGAGTTTTTATACGACCGCAAAAAATTTTTGCGGTCGTATATTGGTATGACGTTGGTGTCGTCGTCGTCGTTGTTGTCGTCGTTTGAAGACACATTGGATTTCGCACTCTAACTTTAGTTTAAGTGAATGGATCTCTTTGAATTTTACCATAAGGTTAAATACCACAAAAGGAAGGTTGGGATTGATTTTGGGGGTTATGGTACCAACAGTTAAGGAATTAGGGGCCAAAAATAAGCATTTTCTAGTTTCCAGACAATAACTGTGGAACGGTGTATGGATCTCTCTGAAATTATACTACAAGTTTCCATACCACAAAGGGATGGTTAGGATTTGCTTTGGGGGGTTATGGCTCAAACCGTTTAGGAATTAGGGGCAAAAAAGGGGGAAAAACAAGGTTGTCCTGGTTAATGGACAAATACTTTAGTACAAAACATAATTTAAAGCAGTGTAAGGGAGATAAATCAAATACATCATTGAAATTACCTCCCTTACACTGCTTTTAAATTATGTATAAAGTAATGGTTAATGAACAATTAAGATAATTTAAAACAGTGTAAGGGAGGTAATACAAATACAACGTTTTGGTTACTTCCCTTACACTGCTTTTAAATTATGTTTAAAGAAATGCATATTTATAAAGGTGTAATACCACCAAATCATAGTACGTCACATCCGGTTGCATACGAAAATAGGTCGAAAAAAAAATATTCCCTTGAATTTGACAGTTGTAGGTAATTGATCCTACATTTCATTGCAGTAAAACATTTCTGGGTCATAAACATATATCTTGGGTATTTCAAAGCACCATTATTTTTTTATTTGGGGTTTCTATAGAATATTTTGGAAACTTGAGGTTACATGGTTACTAAAGCTTGTACACAGGTTAAAAAAGGGGGAAAATTTGATTGGTTAACTTCCAGTGATGGTTATTTTCTTATATGCAATGAAACGTTATGTGAAATTTTTTCTATAGTACTGGACAGGATAAAACTTTACTCATGCCAAGTATTTCTTTATTTGACACAAAGATAAATTCTGCACAATTTTTTGAAAAGTGCAAATTTAACAAAGACTAATAGGGGAAAATCAATGGAGGTATTACACCTAAAGGAAGACCAGTAAAAATATCTGCAAATATTGCATCTTTTTTTTTTACAAAAAAATCCATATGAAAGATTTGACACTATATTTTAAATTCTATTATAAAATAGATTAAGTTAGCACTATGGTAAATTTAAATGGGTAATTATGGTTGCAAACTCCATTGGAAATTTGAATTGAGATTGTGACCATATCTTGAGGGAAAGTATTTTTTTGGGGGAAAAAGGGAGGGGGGGGGGGGGGGGTAAAAAGAAATTGTGGGGGGGTCAATTTTTTCTCATTTCAGATTTCAGAAATTAAAAAGAAATATTCTTCAAATAGTATTTTTTTTTCAAATTTCAAGAAGTAATCTTTAATTGCACAGTATGGTGCATTAGATTTGTAAAATCTTTGACCACATTTATTTATTTGTTATGCTGAATCTAACCGTGTATTTAGATTTTTAATTTTGGGTCCAGTTTTCAAATTGGTCTACATTAAGGTCCAAAGGGTCCAAAATTAAACTTTGTTTGATTTTAACAAAAAATTGAATATATGGGGTTCTTTGATATGCTGAATCTAAACATGTATATAGATTTTTGATTTTTGGCCCAGTTTTGAAGTTGGTCCAAATTGGGGTCCAAAATTAAACTTTGTTTGATTTCATCAAAAATTGAATTATTGGGGTTCTTTGATATGCCAAATCTAACCGTGTATTTAGATTTTTAATTTTGGGTCCTGTTTTTTAAATTGGTCTACATTAAGGTCCAAAGGGTCCAAAATTAAACTTAGTTTGATTTTAACAAAAATTGAATTCTTGGGGTTCTTTGATATGCTGAATCTAAACATGTATTTAGATTTTTGATTTTGGGCCCAGTTTTCAAGTTGGTCCAAATTGGGGTCCAAAATTAAACTTTGTTTGATTTCAACAAAAATTGAATATATGGGGTTCTTTGATATGCTGAATTTAACCATGTATTTAGATTTTTGTTGAGCCTTCGACTTTAGTCGAAAAAGCGAGACATAGCGATCCTACATTCCGTCGGCGTCGTCGTCGTGGTAGTCGGCGGCGTCCACAAATATTCACTCTGTGGTTAAAGTTTTTGAAATTTTAATAACTTTCTTAAACTATCCTTGATTTCTACCAAACTTGGACAGAAGCTTGTTTATGATCATAAGATAGTATCCAGAAGTAAATTTTGTAAAAATAAAATTCCATTTTTTCCGTATTTTACTTATAAATGGACTTAGTTTTTTTGCCGGGAAATATTACATTCACTCTGTGGTTAAAGTTTTTAAAATTTTAATAACTTTCTTAAACTATCCTGGGTTTGTACCAAACTTGGACAGAAGCTTGTTTATGATCATAAGATAGTATCCAGAAGTAAATTTTGTAAAAAAATAAATCCATTTTTTCCTTTTTTTACTTTTAAATGGACTAAGATTTTCTGCCAGGGAACAACACATTCACTCTGTGCTTAAAGTTTTTAAAATTTTAATAACTTTCTTATACTATTTTGGATTTGTACCAAACTTGGACAGAAGCTTGTTTATGATCAAAAGCTAGTATCTAGAAGGAAATTTTGTAAAAAAAATAAATCCATTTTTTACTTTTAAATGGACTTACATTTTCTGCCAGGAAACAACACATTCACTCTGTGGTTAAAGTTTTTAAAATTTTAATAACTTTCTTATACTATTTTGGATTTGTACCAAACTTGGACAGAAGCTTGTTTATGATCAAATGCTAGTATCTAGAAGGAAATTTTGTTTTCTTCCAGTTAACATTACATTCAGTCTGCAGTTAAAGTTTTTAAACATTTATTAGATTCATAAACTATCCTGGATTTTTACCAAACTTGGACAGAAGCTTCTTACAATCAAAAGATAGTATCAAGAGGAATATTTTTATTGATTTACTTCCTCATTTTTGTTGAGCCTGCGATTAACAGAAAAAGTAGGCGAGACACTGGGTTCCGCGGAACCCTTACGAATTTTTTATTTGTGGGCCCCGCTATCAAATTGGTTCATATTGAGGTCAAAAGGGTCCAAAATTAAACTTTGTTTGATTTCATCAAAAATTGAATTATTGGGGTTCTTTGATATGCTGAATCTAAACATGTGTTTAGATTTTTGATTATGGGCCCGGTTTTCAAGTTGGTCCAAGTTGGGGTCCAAAATTAAATTTTTTTTTATTTCAACAAAAATTGAATATATGGGGTTCTTTGATATGCTGAATCTAACCATGTATTTAGATTTTTTATTTGTGGGCCCCGCTATCAAATTGGTTCATATTGAGGTCAAAAGGGTCCAAAATTAAACTTTGTTTGATTTCATCAAATATTGAATTATTGGGGTTCTTTGATATTCCAAATCTAACCGTGTATTTAGATTTTTAATTTTGGGTCCTGTTTTTTAAATTGGTCTACATTAAGGTCCAAAGGGTCCAAAATTAAACTTAGTTTGATTTTAACAAAAATTG